ATATACATGTTCTTATGCTGTGTAGAAAGTTTGAGCTCATTCCGATAAAAATTGTATTTTTTATGAATTTTCAAATTTATTATTTATTTTTTATTAGTATTCGTATAACTGGTGTTGTTGATGAAGAAGCTATTATTAAAAGCAACAATGAAAAGACTCCAAACTCCAAGAAGAAGAAAGGATCTCCTCTCAGTCGGAAACTGTCACGTCTTCAGAAACTCTCTCGTGCTAACTCAAACAATAAAGACTCACTTAACGAGGAGGAGGGGTCAGGAGGCGTGGCTAATGATAATAGACCGATATTAATGGTTAGGACTGAGAATGTGTACCATGAACCTATTGAGAAGTCACAAGAGATCAAGGTATGGGATTATAAGAATGAGAATATGAGTATGGAGTATGGAATTATGAGAATGGAGTATGTATGGGTATAGAATGATGCCAGTAACATTTGAACAGAATCATTCATGTTTTAGTGTTATTATTATTATTATTATTATTATTATTATTATTATTATTATTTTTATCAATAATATTATTACTATTATATCATGCAGGCATTGTCAGCTGAAGTGATTAAAACTATCAGAGACATCATTTCATTGAATCCACTGTATAGGTAATAATAATAATAATGATAAAACACTATCTTGAATAATTATAATTTTTCTTCTCTCTCTCTCTCTCTTGTCCCACAGAGAGTCATTGGCTCAGATCATTGAGGCTGGTAAAAGAGTTATAGATGATCCTACACATCTTGCTGATTTTGGAGCTGCACTGACCAGTGGAGAATCACATCAAATTCAAGCAGTTCTTGAATGTCCAGACGTAATCACTTTATTATTATTAATTTATTATTATTATTGTTGTTGTTGTTATCAGATTCCTGAGCGATTGATGCTAACACTTGAACTACTCAAGAAAGAATTAGCCATTGTAACACTACAAAAGAAACTTTGAAAAGAAGTAAGTACATCTATACAGTGTATGTACATGTAACTGAGTTCAATTTACCATTATTTGCTTCACCTTAGTGTCACATTTTTATTTATAATATATTTTTGTCATGTTAGGTTGAAGAGAAGTTTACTAAAATGCAGAGGAAATATTTATTACAAGAACAACTGAAAATAATAAAGAGAGAACTAGGAATAGAAGTAAT